GGGCCCCCCCCCCACAGCTTATTCTTTGCATATACTCAATCTAACATTGATTCTGCCTCTTCCTCCCTCCCTCAGTTGTAGCTTGGCTCCCCTTGAGCTTGTAAGAAACTTTTAGAATCTCAGCTCCTTGAGAAAAAATATTTTGGCAAAGTAATCCTAAAAGCTTTAAAAAAAAAAAAAAACCAACTCATTTTTAAAAACACTGAATTTACATTCTGAACCATTACCAAAATCTTACTTATTCTGCAGTCTCCTGGGGATGTTGTGAGGTTTAATTAGCTCCAGTTGGAAAATGCTTTGAAAAGTGCCGTAAAGGTGCCAAACACTGCTCCACTCATGTAGATCTAAAATGTTCAAATTATTACATCATAAAACGAATCATTTGAAAATTAATTCCTCTTCCGTGCCAGCGTGACTTCAAAGGGACCTCGCTTCCCCCGCTCCGCTGGTAGGATCACACCACCCGGGCACTGCAAGGCGTCCAAGCGCTGGCAATGACCAAGAATGAGAGTACTTGGATCTTCACGGCGCCTTCCCTGTTATTTCATCTGGGGGTTGCCTACCTTGGTGTGCAATCGCAGACCCGAGATTCGGGGCATGCTGACAGTAGCTACTTGGCCACCTTTGCAAAAGAAGACCGGGGAATCGCTTCCCACTGCCTTCCAAGCAACTTAGCCCCAAGGTCTCTCTCGAGGAACATTCGGGCATTTGGCAAACATTTCTTTTTTGTGATTTGCTACGGACGTGTACTTTTTTCCTTGGTATGCACCGCTGCATCTGGATGCAGAGGGCTGCTGGGAAGTCTGTGCAGTAAAGCAACGAACCGCAACGCAGAAGCCCTGCTTTCTTCAACTGCCGCTGCAGGAGTCTCGCAGAGCAGATTTGGCCTGCTAAAAGAACCACCGCCAAAGGTAACAGCAAAAGTGGTTTTATTGAAGTAGGATGTTGTAAAAGTGAGGCTTAACAAAGTCCAATGGCAAGGTTCAATCTATTACTTACTGCACAGAGGATATAATAATGATTCAAAGTTACCAATACAAAATTTTAATGCCCTGCAATTCCAGGTTATGCACAATATCGGACATTTACCAAAGATCTGCACTTGGTAAGGGGTCTCTCAACCTCGAGGAGTAACCTTGAGAGGCGTCCCAACTCAAGGGGAGATCACCGCCACGCAGCCAGCTGCTTAGCAGGGAGAGCTCAAAAAAAAGCTCACTCAGGCTGTCATATTTATGGAATAAAGTGGTTGGCTCGTAGCCAAATTACGTGTGACGGAAAAGGTAAGTAAGAGACTCCTTGTACCCACAACCTCCTTTGTTCCTTGACCAAATTAGTCTTGGAAGAACCACCTGCTATTCATGTGTTAATCGCATGATCGCTGTTCCGGTTTCCAGGCTCATGTACATCAAAGCTCACCATGTCGCCCTGTTCCTGTGTGGGTTTTCAAAGAACAGGTTGGAACTAGAGAAGTTCATGACCCAGTCACAGCCTAGACCTTTACTTCCTCCGGGAGCCTGAACCAAACTATGACAGGTTTGGTCGAGCAGTCGAGCGTATCCATCACAAAGAGCACCCACCAGCTGAAGCAGGCGCGGGTGGGGAGCGCAGCAGCACCCACACGTACCACAAATCACCCTTTTACTCATCATTATTAGCAGGGCTGAAACACAGCCACTCCAAGGTGAACAAGGTCCTACCACCCGACCTCCAACCCGTCTCCACGCTGCGCCTCGGGAGAAGGCGAGCTGCTCTCGGCTGTGCCTCGCCGGCGTCCCGGCGGGTCTCGGCTCGCACCCGCGCTGTTTGCTGGCCATCTGTCACATGCTTCCTGCAGAAATTCTTGAGCGCAGCCACCCCAGGAGCCCTGCAGTCTGCACACCAGAGCTGCAATGCCCCAGGCTGACAGCTGTACTGGGGAGGAAAGCACTGGGCTGGGAATTACTGGAAATTCCCTCTGGCCGCAGAGCAAGCTGTAGCTCGGACCTGCAGGACACCGAGGAGCCGCAGTCCAGAGAGCGATCCCAGAACAAAGCTCTGGGGAGCTCTACAGTTAGGAGGAAACTTCCAGACACCGGTTTGTGACATGCTGACACCACATCTCTCCTGCAGAAACAGCCTTGGGCTCTCGCGGGGCTAATCTAAAGTTCACACCACCACAGCCCATTATTTATTCAGCTCTGCGTGTTCAGTCTGCATTATCTGTAACACTCGATAATGAGATAATTTCTGGGTTTGCTTTAGCTTTGGGCTTCAGACAGAAGCTTCTCTATTTTGCATCCATAAGTCTACAAATCAAAGTACGTCAGCAAAAGACTGCAACACTCACAAACTGCAATATGAAGTGTCCTTCCCTGTGTGCAACCTGGCTTTGTTCTCAGCCACATTCGTGTCTCGGGCCAAAGAGATCTTAAAAGAACAGTCACGTTATTTCCAGTCTTGCTTATTCCATTATGATCGACTCCAATGATTTCAGGGGAGGAAAAAAAAAAAAGTCTCCATCATTTTTACCCA